ACACACACACACACCTGCTGATTGTTTCCTTGGTGGACACAGCGTCTCTGACTGTTTCCACTGGAGACAAACTGCTTTGTGTTCATTGAATCAACTGGAAATGTTGGGTTTTAGTTGAGCTCGTGATAAATCTCAGTATTAATGTTTTAATATTCAAATCTGCTTCACATCTCAGGTGAACCACATTTGCACACCTGTCTGAGCCTGTCCAGCGTCAGGATGTTCTCCACAGCCAGGACACTGCGGAGGTATTTCTCGATGGCTGCCTCGCTGGCGGCCGACTGCTCGTCCTCTGCGCTGGCGGCCAGCCGGGCCAGCATCTCCCTGTCCTCTGGACCGTGGATGTCCTGTAGTGGGAAATAAGGCAGTATTTATTCAAAGCCAAATAACACTGTGTTCTGTGTGTGAGCAGATCAAACACCTTAATATTAAAAACACGCTGATCTGGTCGCACTCCTGTGGTAGCATCACGCCATGTTGATGTTTACACAAACACCACGCTCTGTTCGAGTCTACAAAAATCGTCATGGTAACGTCCGATGTTGCCTTCTTCTGAATTTGTCACAATCACAAGACTTTCAGAAAACATGACCTCTGAAGCTGAGGTCAAGGTCAGAGATTTGAACCTAGTATCATATCCTATATTAGTATCAGTGTGTAAAACGTACATCTTCACCTCTTCCATAGGTAGATGCTGCTAATCAATACATCTGATTAGCTGATCATCAGCAGGTGTGAGCACTTCTATAAAAGCTAGTCTTTTGTCACTTTGCTGGTCTGGAGCTTTCCGGTGTGTTAACTGAGGAGGAAAGACGATCTCAGAGAAGCAACTGTGCCTGCTCATCAATCTGGAAAGGGTTCAAAGGTCACTCCCAAAAACGTTAAAGCGCATCACTCTGCTGCGATAAAAATGAACAGAGCATTGATCCTTCCCAGGAGGAGCAGCTTCACCCGGAGGTTGCAATGTTTAAGTTCATCATGGCAGAATTAGGAAAAGCGTGAACATGTGTCGGCTTATTTGGAAAAGTGTCCATGAGAAAGCCTTTTCTCTCCACAGAGAACGTGCCGTCTACTTCTGGAACGCCGGGATTCATTCCTCCATATGTGCGTCGAAATGTTCTTACTCTAAAATGGCCACCAGATTCAAGAAATGTACACGCTCACCATTTTTGTTCTCACTGCCATTTAGCTGATCAGGAAGGCCAGCTCTGTTCTGGGATGCACCCTGGACCCAGTGCAGGTGGTGGGAGACAGAAGGACTCTGATGGACAGAGTCTCCCACCCCATGCATGTGAATGTTGCTGCAGAGCTGCTGCAGTGACAGACTGCTGCATCGTCGATGCATGAAGGAGCGTTTCTGCAGGGCCTTCCTCCCTGCAGCTGTCAGACTGCACAATCACAACTGCTCCCAACAATCATAGATGTTCACATCTGCGCTGTAGCAGCTTCTACTGTTATAACTACACCTTATATATACACTAACTTATTGGAAGTTACATGTCTACGTTTTAATGCACAATCACACAATCGGCACGTTTCTAATGATTCTAAATATTCTTTTTTGTAAGGTCAGCTTTAACTATAACCATTTAAGCCCATAAGAGTATACTGTAACACTACATGGGCCTCTAGGGCTGATAATCTTCTTCACTATTTAAACATCTTTCAGTCTCCTGCTCTGTCTGCACATCTGTACACTAATCCCAACAACTGTGCTCTGGTAACTGTTGTCCATGATGTAAATATGTAAAAATTGTGTTTTCTGTTCTTTATATGTGTGTTTTTGGCTGCTGATACAACCAAATTTCCCCTTGTGGGACAATTAAAGTATTATTCTATTCCCCTTTCCTTCCTTCCTGAACACTAACGCAGACGCCAACATGAATCCTGGTACTTACTCCTGGGATGTTAGAAACCACTTCAAAGGTGATCCCACAGCCGCTGACGGAGCTCCGCTGAGACATCCTCTTCAGCAGACTCTGGGCAAAACCCTGCAGCGCAACAACACATCAGCTGATCTCCTCAGGTGCGGGCTGTGAAGCACACCCATCACACCATCTAAGCTACACACACCTGTCTCCCAGTAACACTGACACAGATGCGTTTCCTGAGGACCAGCTGCATGTGGGCCGGATGGCTCAGCTGCACCACCGTGCGCACCGTCAGGTACACCCTCTGGTCAGCGGGCGCCACGCGACTCAGCTGGGGGCACTCGTGGACCGTGGAGTCCCAGGACGCCTCGGCCTTCACCTGGAACGCATTCACAAGGAAATGACCGGCTCAAGATTTCCCTCCATCTGCATCTGGTAGTTTTAATTCTCTCTAAAGCAGGAAGAAGAAACCTGAGGGAAAAGTCCTTTTACAGCCTGCTCACCTCTGGATCATAGTGTTTAACAATATGGAGGTCAAAGAAGTCGTCTTCATCTTTCCCACTGAGCAGCGCGTCCTGTCCTCCGGCCAGCGGGGCCGACAGACTGGACTGGAAATCGTCGGCTGGAGGGAAAACGCACACGGAGAGGAGCTTCAGCGCTGCTACAAGCACACGTGGTTTTTACCAGGAGAACAACAACATACCACTGAGATCCAGAAACAGGGCAGGAGTGTGTGTTTCCATCCCAGGCACAGGGACCCTGTGGAGAAAGTGACCAGCTGCTAAGGTTTGTTCCTGAGTGAAGGTGGCGACCGCTCTGTGTTTGACACCGCGAGGACCGTGGATCATTCGACGGCTTCTTGTGAAAGCAGTGCAGTTTTTAACAGTACGCTCGATCACTTACAAACATGCTACAAGTAACTATTGGTTGTTGTCATTAACTCAGTAACTGAAATTCAGACTAAAACAGAGAATAAACAGTCGGACATCTTCAAGATCAAAGGGCACAGAAAATAAAGACAGAATGAATGAATTCAACATTAATTTAGAAGCTTTGAAATGTTAGGAAGTAAAATAAAACGACACTGGAGACTGTGGCCTGAGCTTCTGCATGTTCCATCACATTAAAGAGAAATTCACTTTCTAAATACAGGAAAGCTTTTTGGAGCAGCTCCACATTTACCAGAAATCTTTTCTTGCTCATTTTCTTCTGTTGTTTAGAAAAGTAAAGAACCCCAATAAAACCCGCCCACCTCTCTACTGGCGCTCCAGGAATGCCGCTGCCAGCGGACGGGACCATGACGGCGTTCCGTTCTTCGGTGAGGGTCAGCCGGCACTCCAACAGCTGCGATTCCCTTTCAACATCATCCTCCGACTTGTCTGTGCGCGTTCGCAGGAAACGAAAGCAGCAGCAGGAAAAACGTCACAAACGCTTCGTGGCAGAAACACCGCTCAGACAGATTTTTATCATTATTTATAGATTCCCTCACTGGTCGTTATATTAGGTACACCCTTCATATTATTGCAAAAACCCCAAACAAACTAATGGGCTGACACACTGCACCAACTGAACATATTTAGAAATGCAAACACGGTGAAGATGACCTGCAAATGAATGTGCCGTGCTTATTGGCTCATGGTC